CTCTTCCCATATCCTCATCAGCTATGAATGCTTATTACATTTTACAACATAAATATTCATTTTCTAAATTTGTCTAGTTTTAATCTGTATTTCTTTATTTTTCAAGGAGTCTTAACATCGTTTGTATGTATTCTCTTGAAATTGCATATTGTTATAATTTTTGTCATTTTTCCTACTAGTTTGTTAACCTATGCCTCACTAACTTAAAAGAAAGATTTTTATTGCTGTCATATATGTTACAGAATATTATTTTCTTAGTTGTGTTTTAGGTGGTAGTGGGAGTACAGAAACAGTGTAAAATTTCATAGTTAACTTTATTAAAGTATAGACATTTACTGACTTATGCTTTATGTAAACTTTTCTAGAGCAAAAGTCACAATGAGACTTTGTTTTTTTTTTTTTTTCAAAGAACTGCAGACAAACATGTAAGAGGCAAATCTTAAATAGATGGTGTTTCGTTTCTGGTTGTATTAAAAAGAAAGTGGTTTGAGATGGAAAGTGGTGACAAGCAGAAGAGCAGATGGAAAAGTCAAAGACGGTCTTAGGTGCTCCAGCAGGGTTCAGTGGGGAAAGCAGGATGCAGTGCAGACTACTGAGGTCACAAGGATGGGCACCTGTATCAGGAGTACATAGCCCTGCCCAGGTGAAAGCCCTAGGGACTACAGTACGACCCCACTGGACAAGATGTGCTTACTAACGTAACAGCAGAATGTGCACTATAGGAACAAACAGGTGCTCCTTGTTTGGTTTTGAGGTGTTTCCCATAAGAAAAAAAACATCTCTGGTCCTTTGACCCGATTAAAAACTCATGGCAGATGAGGTCATAGATGTGTGATGCAAAAACAGCAACATAGGAAAAAGGGACAGGGAGAGTCAGAAGCAGGGGGGATATGAAATGCTGTCTTTTAGGCATAATAAAGAATGCAATGATCTCACAGCAACTAACTTCTAGCTGTCACCAGAAGGCTTGCACAAAACTGCCTGCATCAGCAGTCAAGTTTTAATTGAGGAGAGGCCCATGGTTTTGTCTTCATTGTTGACTTATCATATCTCGGGCTTTTTATCCCTAGATAAGAGAAGTCATGGGTTAGAGACTGAGTCCAGTTACTGTTTGTTCCAGATCACAGTCACTGAGAGATTTTCTCCCTTAAGCTCTGTTTTCTCTAGTTTAAAGTTACGTTCAGAATGTATAAGGATCCAGTAGAACTTGTAATTATCCCTAGATGTTTCAGGACTCTGTTGTAAAACTTTGTTATAACTAGGCTATGGAGTGGATTGTGCAGGATTCTAGAACAGTGTGGAGAAATGACAATGAGCAATAGTGCTTAAGCCCAGGAAGCTGGATTATTCCAGTCCAATCGAGTTAAGACTTTTGAGTTATGTGGGGAGAAGAGAGGGAAAAAAGCTGTTCTTGACAGACAGAAATCGTCTCTGCAGTGCCTTAAGTAGTAGCATTGATGATAACCATAATGGTGCAAGAAGGAAACATCGACTTAGTATGCAGTAAGTGCTAGGCACTGGGTCACTTTCCCAAATTCTTGCAACTTTCACAATGACAGACAAGACAGCATTATGATCCTCACTTTATGCATGAGGAAAACAGAAATTCAGTAATTTATTCACAATTGGAGCTGGGTACACACGTGAATGTCTACTGAGCAGTAGTAATTATGAGTGTTAAACACAGCTAATGACATTTATATGTGATTAATACTGAAGAGTAGTCATTCTACTAGATATAATACTGCAGCTGATTGGTTGGGTATAAACTATAATATTAACAGGATATTTCCAGAGAATGTGTATTATTAAGAAGAAATAGTTGCTTTAAGGTTTTGGTGAATATTAAATGAGAATTATGGTACTTTTGAGACTATTACTGGATAATAGGTGTCAATCATTATTGTAGCAGTAGATAATTTGGGGAAATACCAGTGAGGTTTTTGTTAATTGCAAAACTTTGTATGATTAGCATGCAAAGCAGTGGTGATCAGAATGCTGTTGTAGTGACTTTGTGCTCACTGATGCTCCTCTCACCTACCCTTCCCTACAGCCTCTCCTCTTCTAGTCTTTCATTTGATTTGATTTCTGTTACCCTCTTCTCTCCACCCCCTTAATCCTTTTTCCCTCTTCATCCTTTCCTTTCTAGCCTTACACCCATAAACACACATATACACATAAATGGTTTAGCTAGATCTCGAGGTAGAACCATTCCCAATCTTCTGAGAAACCACCAAGTTGGTTTCCAGAATGGTTGTCTGGCCCAGAGCTCCTCTCACCTTCCCAAGAAGACCTGTTGCCATCAGGATCATCCAGCTAACACCAGGGAAAATCAGATGCGTAAAAGACAGCATAAGAACACAGTCAACAAGACTCAGGGCAATATGGCACCACTAGAGCTCAGCTATCCTGCGATAACAAACCCTGGATATCCTAATGAAACTGAAACAAGAGAAGAGAATCTTAAATTCAATCTTACAAAGATGATAGAGGACATGAATAAATCCCTTAAGGAAATTTAAGAAAATATATTCAACCAAGTAAGTATAGGTGGCAAATAAATATAAAGAAATACAGGAAAATATAATCAAACAGGTCAAGGTTATAAATAAAGCTGTCCAAGTCCTGAAAAGGGAAATGGAAGAAATAAAGAAAACTAAGGCAATCATATAGATGGAAAACCTAGGAAAAAGAACAGGAACTACAGACATAAGCCTCACCAACAGAATACAAGAGACAGAAGAGACAATGTCAGGTATATTAAAGAAATCAGTATATCAGTTCAAGAAAATGCAAAATCTAAAAAGTCTATTACACAAAACATCCAGGAAGTTTAGAACACTATGAAAAGACCAAACCTAAGAATAATAGAAATAGAAGATTGCCAGCCGAAAGGCCCAGAAAACATCTTCAACACAATCATAGAAGAAAATTTTTCTGACCATAAAGAAAGAGATGACTATAAATGTACAAAAAGCTTACAGAACACCAATCAGATTAGATCAGTAAAAAAAAAATCTTCCTGCCACATAATAATCAAAAACTAAATATATAGAGCAAAAAGAGAATTTTAAAAGCATCAAGGAAAAAGGACCAAATAACACATAAAGACAAACCTATCAGAATTGCACCCAGTTTCTCATCTGAGACTCAAAAACCTAGAAAGGACTGGGCAAAGTTCTTGTGGACCCTAAGAGACTACAAATGTCAGCCCAGACTACTATACCTGTTCGGGGTAATATTTAGAAAACGGTCGGTCCTGCTTGTTCCCAGGCAGCTGCCATGTTCCCACTGCTCTGACCTGGGCTCCTGGTATCTACAAGCGCAGGCCCTGGCACCCAAGAGACGCCAGCATGGTGGCTGGCTCTCCCAATCCACCATGCTGTCCATAATGCTCGGCTGAACCACAGACAATACTCGCAGTCCTTGCAGTACCTGGTAGAATGAAGACTCTTAAAGCTTAAAGATTATCCATTAGATTTATATATTTGGAAATGCTCAAATAACAAGATGCCCACACAATTAGAATTGTTACCCAAAATCTAACCTTTTGATAAGTTGTTATCGAGGACTGCTCTCGAACCATCCTCAGTTCTCCATAACTGCTAGCCTCTTCTCTCACTCATCTACTCCCCTTCCTCTCCTTCTCCCCCTGCCCACTCCTCCTCACTCCACCTACCTCTCATACAGCCCAATCACCTAGTCTTATTGCAAATGTAGCAGGAAAATATCTCATTACAATACCCAGCAAAACTTTCAATCACTATAGAAGGAGAAACCAAAATATTCCATAACAAAACCAAATTGAAAAAGTACCTTTCCACTAACTCAGCCTTACAGAGGATACTAGAAGGAAAACACCAACCCAATAAAGTTAATTACACTCAAGAAAACACTAGAAATACATAATTCCACGTCATTAAAACCAACAAAAGAGACGTGCGCGTGCACACACACACACACACACTCTCAACCATCTGAGAAACACTATTACTTCTATTGTCAAGTTGCAATGCTTAGTAAAACAAATGTGATACCAATGAAGACTTCTATCTTAACTGATTTCTTCTGTCATTCTTAGGCCAAGATGGATTTTCTCTTACACGTATCAGAGAATTTTTACTCAAAATATTATTAGTAATTACCCCTAGTCACTCCCTTCATATCTGTATTATAGATGGTATTTTTCTGGTTCATATTTATGCTGTGTATTATTCCATCCTTGATTAACTATATTGTACTTCTTTATATTATCTCATTTTAGACCTATTCTTTTGAATATTGTCTTTATATTTGATTCCTATTTGTTCTTTAGATCCACCCTAGCTTCAGGCTATCTGCAAACATGATCATATGTGAATTTACATTCTCCTTCAGTTTATTCATGAGTGTGTTGGACAAAGACCTTTAGCTATGGGGATCATACTGGTGTTCTCACTTCAGACTATATTGAGGAGAATCTATTCCTTCTTTCTTTGTTAGAATTCTATATGTGATACTAGGCAGTGCCTTAACCTGTTCTGCTCATCTATTTTCAAAACTATAGTACTATTTTATTAGTTCTTTTTTACTATATATAATATTATGATATTATATTATTTAAAATTATTATAATAGTTCTATAGTACTGTTGTGCAAATTTTAGAAATTATTCATTCTGGGAAAATATTGTCCTTGGAAGAATTTTCTTAAGAGTCTCGGTTGAATTTCAGTGTCATTAAATATATGAATGTAAAAACATTTTGGAACTGCTTCTAAGTCTTTTCTTTTTCAATGAAAGTAGGTCTGTCATTAAAATTTAAGTAAAGGAATAATTACTTTTGTTGCCACTGGATGGATGATTAAAAACTATGAACAGATAGTTTTTCTAAACGTGTATTTGCAGGAAATAACTTTCATTCAAAGGTAACTTCTTAAATGATATGCAGTTCATTTGTAATTTTAGGACTCTGATACAAACCAGATGCCTATGTTCTAATTTATGTTTCTCTTATTTTCAGGAAAAAGAAGAAATAGAAGGGGTGTCAGTAGGTGCTATACTTTCTGACTATCAACGTGTGCGAGTAGAAAACGTGTAAGAGAACACCAATTTGTCTAAACAACTAATTTAAAAATTGGGATAGATTAAAAACTAATTTAATAAAAAATTAACACTAAGCCTAGTGTCAGAGTGTGTGCTCAGAACATACAGGGCTAGAATTGTAATCCCAAACTTCTCCAAAAATAAAAAGCACCATTAATGAATAAAAAAATAAATAATTGTACCTAAAACATAAGTAAATATGTTATACATGCTTTACAGAACTAAACGTGTGTTTAACAAAAGCCACATTTGTTTTCTATTTTTTTTATTTTTCTTTGAGAAATTCATATGTGTATAACAACTACGTATTGCCATAACCCCACTATTTTCTCCTACCTCCTCTCAGAACCCTGCAAGTCTTCCTCTTGACTCCATGCCCTCCTCCTGCCCCTCCTTTTCTGCTCTTCAGTAGCACACTGAGTCTGAAAAGTGTTGTCTATATGCATATGATACATGTTCATCCACTGGAACATGCACAGCTTTTCAGCGACCATGTCCCATAGATAATCCAAGTGTTTCTTACAAATTTTGATTAAATGAATAATACATTCAGTTTTTGGCCTAAGGGGTAAGAAATACTACTCTATCAGCAAGTCAGTTGTTCTAACACCTTGCCAAACTATCTCAAAACAATTAAGAATCTTTCCCTTTCTTTCCCCTGGACTTTTAGAGTATGGAGATTCTGATAAACTTGTAAAGCATGAATTATCACATCTGTCCAAGTAACTATGCCTTTTTGTGTTTTCCAACCTATGGAAGCATTAAAAATGAGAATAATTATTAATAGGGATTTATATGCTGTTTGGCATTGATTTCTAAATTTATAGACTTACTAAAGTTGATATTTCTAGCTACCTGGAAATTTACTTTTTTATGTTAGTCCTTAAAAATTAAATATCCCAGACATTTTTATGTTTTTTTTTCCTTTTTAGCCATTTGTGTTTGTGTATCTGTGTGTGAGTATGTGAATATGTGCATCCCATGATGCACATGTGGAGTTCAGTGGACAACTTATAGGAGTTACTTCTCTCCTTCCACTGTGATGTTTCCAGACTTGAACTCAGACAGCAAGCAAGTGCCTTTATTATGTGTGGAATCTCTCTGGAACCACAAGGCATTTCAAAAGAGAGAGGGGGGGAGGGGGAGAGGGAGAGAAAGGGAGGATGGAAAAAGAAGAAGGAAGGAAGGCAGGGAGGGAGGGAAGGAAGAAAGAGGGAGAGAGAGAGAGAGAGAGAGAGAGAGAGAGAGAGAGAGAGAGAGAGAGAAGGAAGAAAGGGGGAGCATTTTAAATGTTTAAAATCCTTGAAAGAAATATATTTAAAATCATGTTGCTGGGGACCCTAATATGCTAGTATAGAACAAAAACGTATCATTTGATTTTTTTTTAACTTTGCAGATGTAAACGACTCAATCTCCAGCCTTTAGCTTACCTTTGGCAGAGAAACCAGGAAGATTTGCTCCAAGAGATGATAGCATCGAATATCAATGCCATTATTATCAAAGTAGCAGCTTTGGGTATGTAACCAAATTATCAGAACAGTTGTCTACTACCCCAGAGATATGCACTAAGGAAGAGCCAGTGATTCAGATATAAACATGTGGAGTCGCAAATGAAGTAAATTCTCTCTCTCTCTCGCTCTCTCGCTTACTCTCGCTCTAGCTCTCGCTCTCGCTCTGTGTGTGTGTGTGTGTGTGTGTGTGTGTGTGAGAGAGAGAGAGAGAGAGAGAGAGAGAGAGAGAGAGAGAGAGAGAGAATTTTGAAATAGCTGTTCGCATGTTTGCTGAAGAGAGAAATAGTGAGCATCTCATATGAAGTATATGCTTAATGATTAAAACTGATAATATGGTTTTCTAAATTCCTGTCTAATTTGGAGTTAAGATTAATGTAAACAGAAAATACAGGAATTGTTGGGGTGATTCTTTTGGTGTTTGTTTTTTGTGTTTCTTTCTTTTTTTAGAAACCTCTTAAATTACTTATTTGTCACCAAATATTTACCTTGTATTTTAACATTGTTAATAATACTAAAACAGAATACTTTTTCTTTGTATTATTTTTAAAAGAGCAAGAATTATGAAAGAAAAGTCACATCAGAGAGTGTTATTTGATATGTGTGAGCAAAGGAAAAATGTGGTTTTAAACTTGCATCATTGTACTCATTTTGATACATGTTTGAGGCCAATGCATTTAAATCATAAACCCGTCACAAAGAATGCTCTGAAGGGTCAGGTTGCAAGGCCTACCTGTGAATATCCCTTTCGAATGTTCACCCCTCCAGTCTCTGAAGTGATTTTATTAATAAATTTGTTTTCAAATAGCATATAAGAAAAGGTGAGGCAGCTGGGCAGTGGTGGCACACACCTTTAATCCCAGCACTTGGGAGGCAGAGGCAGGCGGATTTCTGAGTTTGAGGCCAGACTGGTCTACAGAGTGAGTTCCAGGACAACCAGAGATACATAAAGAAACCCTGTCTTGAAAAACATAAATAAATAAATAAATAAATAAATAAATAAATAAATAAATAGGGCGAGGCACATGCAGCACTTAACAGTACTTGGTAAACACCACTCTGCTCTATTTGCTGCATACTCTGTAGTAGAACCCTTGTTTGGTGAATGTGCAGCCATAAACTCTTTCACAGTTAAAATGAAAATGATTGACAAAGTGTAATCTTGCTTATGAGAAAAATCTACTGATCAGCTCTGTGGTCCTCTGAATAAAATAACTACCATAGCCCCAAAGGGAGTGGCACTATTAGGAGGTGTGTCCTTATTGAAGTAGGTATGCCCTTGTTAGAGGGAGTATGGCACTGTGTGGGCTTTGAGGTCTCAGAAGCTAAAGCTAGGCCTTGTGGCTCTCAGCTTTTTTTTTCTGAGGTCTGCAGATCAAGTTGTAGGTCTTCTCAAGCATCCTGTCGGAACTGTAAGCCAGCTATAAATAAATATTTTCCTATACAGGAGTTGCTGTGATCATGATCTGTCTTCAAGCTCTTAGATTACAGTCTAAAATGAAGCCATATTATTGATGGGGTTCTGTGTGAATCTGTGGAGAGTGTGTTCTGTTTCTTTCCATGATTCTTAATCTCTGCTGGATTTTCTAAGATAAAACAGTGCTGTCCTGAAGTTCATCCTTTACCATTCTGGAAGATACTGTTTTGTTTTGTTTTGTTTTATTTTATTTTTACCATATTTTACGATTAGAAGGAAGGATAAACCAAAGAATTTGACATTGTCCCTTTGAGATTATATATAGCCCCATGGAGTTACAACCCAGAGGTTGAGAATCACTGAATGCTAATAGGTTTAGAAGACCACCCTCAAGAAACATGTATTTGATGTGATATAATCTAATGAATGGGTACTACTGGTAAAAATTCCATGAAATTTTAAAAAAGAGTTTTATGGAAAATGTATAATATGCCCACGCAGAATTATATTACATATAACATACCCGCTAGGACTTAGCTGCAGAGGACATTAGTGTATCAGAATGCCTCAACAGAGATCATGGGTAGGGGTAGGAGGTAAAAGGCCATCTCAGTGGGGACACCAGACAGACAGACAGACAGACAGACAGAGTAAGACAGAGAGATAAAATGAGAGAGAAGAAAAAAAAAAAACGAGATACAGAGCAATCTGTGATGGCAAGGACAACTGCGAGAGCAGGGCCAGATGACTTGGCTTCTGGCACTGAGTGGCTAAGGTCAGGTTGGGGAAGCACCCGATTTCTAGTAATACCATATAACCATCTTTTAAGCATTTCATTCTTTATCTTTTTTTGGGGGGGAGGGAGTTTGGATATGTAGAATATAGTGTTAAGTTTCTAGGTTTCTTCCCCTTTTTATTGGTTATTTTTCTTAAAGTACCGTATCCCCTCCTCTTTCCCCCTGCCTATATCCGGGTGCTCCCCTACCCACCCACTCACTCCTGCCTCAGTGGCCAAGCGTTTCCCTATCCTGGGTCATCAAGTCTCCAACAGGACCAAAGGGCTCCCCTCCCAGTGATGCCAGATGAGGCAGTCCTCTGATACATATTCAGCTGGAGCCATGGATACCCCCTGTGTACTCTAGTTGGTGGTAAATACCTGCGATACAACTCAGACTATATGAAACCTAAGAAGAAAGAAGATCACACCAAAGTGTGGATGTTGACTTTTAAGCATTTCTTAATGTGCAAACTATCTGTACAAATTGTATAAACGTCATTAGGTTAATATAGGAATAGCACATGCTATAGTTTGGTCAATACAGATAGTCCTTGGTTTTTAATGATACTTAGGGGTTTTTGATAGTAGTACACACACATACACAAACACACACACACAAAGTAAAATAATTTTAAGATAACAATAATCATCTTAGGATAACAATGTTAATACTGCCTCCGCCTCTGCCTCTGCCTGTGATAAGACACTCCCCATCTGTCTTTGTGATTGGACAGATTGAATCCATAAATACCTTGTACATGGTGGCCATACCCTCTAGTACCCAACTGAACCCTCAGCCCCATCTCCTTATTTCTAAGAATTTTAACTCAGTTTCCAGGGCATCCAGCTGTTTTATTCTATATATGCCTAAAGTTCAAAATGTAATTTTAAGTAAATGGTCAAATTCAGTCATTACCACATCTAAATTTAGAACATTTTTGTTCCCCTCCCCAACAAAACTTCTTGCCCGCTTACTATCAATATCTAATTACTTCAGATTCTTCTTTTTCTTCCCAGGTCCAGAAGGAAAAGTTATTTTTATCTTTATAGATTTTCATCTCTCAGCTTCTTACTAGTGGAATTCTAGAATATAAGACCTACTAGGACTGGCTTCTGAAGAATAACGTTTCCAGGTTTACCCATATTATATCATGTGTTGTTTCTGGGTGTTTGTGTATCTATGTACTACTCCTTTACAGAGATATTTTATACTGCATATTATTAAGTTCTTCTGTTCATGAACATTGTGTTCTTCCTACTTGAGGGTGATTGTGAAGACTCTTCCTATGAACATTCATGCAAGTTTTCTGTTACCATGTGCTTGCATTTCCCTTGAATATATGCTTAGGAGTAGAATGCCTTATATATCTAATTTTGAGGAACTGCCAAATTGACTTCCAGAGTAATTTTTAATGTTTTAGTTTCCTACTAGCTTTCAAGATGGCTTCCTGTTTTGTATATACTATCAACATGTGGTGTTTCCTCTCTTTCTTTTATAGCTCTCCATGGATATAATTGCATTTCATGCCATTTTCATTTTATACATTTCTAGTGACTAATGATGATCATCTCATATACTTAGTGACCGATGAGAGTTCAAGTCATTTGAGTGTATATGCATGGGTGTGTAGGATCAAGCCCAGGGTCTAAGCCATGTTAGGCAAACATTCTCCCACAGAGCCTTTCTCTGCCATTGTGGAATTGTTGTATATGCTGTTTTACAAATTCTGAATATAATTCCCTTATGAAATTTGTGATTTGCAAGTATGTTCTCATATTCCACTCTGGGGTTTTTTCCTCCACTCTTTAATGTTACCCTTTAAAAGAGAAAATATGTTCATTTTGATATAGTTCAATGCATTAACTTTTATAGATCCATCATTTGATAGTTTATGTAGTTATGTATGACCCGGCCCATGCAAGTCAGTCAACAGGGTCCAGCAAGGGGAAGGGCAAGAGACACGAAGAATGGAGACAAGACAGAGGATCTGATCAAGTCCCTTTTATTGAAAGACAATTGTGGGTATATAAGCACAAGCAGGGGAATGCAGCTGAAGACACTTTACCACGTGTGCCTTGCAGCTGTGGGCACTAAACAAGAAGCCTGAGGAAAACAAGTTGTTTATCAGAGTGTGCTCAGCTGTTGTGGGCTGTTGAAAAACAAGTTTCTTGTCAGGTTACATAGCCTGAGATGGCTGCGAAGATGATAGCAGCTTCTGCTAGGACTTGGCTTGCAACATATGTAGTCTATCATTCTCTTTAAAAACTTCATACCTTTAGCCTTTATAATTACATCTATGACTTTGTGATCCTTTTCCTTACCCACTTTTATCTGAACTTTTCTTTATCTCTGTTGTTTTGTTACAGAGATCCTTGCCAGTGCAGAGGCATGGCCTGAGTTTATTCATCACTATTGAATAAATCAGTAGTAATGGGCAAAATGCATGTGAAAGATTTTAATAAGTCTTACTATGATGTTTACTATTAATATGTGCTATAAATCCATTGTGTTTAATTGCCTTTTACAAAAATAAAGTGTGGGAAACTGAATTCTGTGAAACCAAAAGGATTAATGCTGTGCTTTATGAATGGAGAGACTGTACCTGTTCTAGGTGCTCAGGATTTCATAACAGCAAGGTGTCCTTAAGAGAGTTATATCTGATACGTGTCAGCTCACAGCACCAAGAAACTACGTCATTGTTAGTGGTTGTTGTTGTTGTTGTTCTTAGACACATATTGTCACTTGGCAAACTGTGTTGATCAAAGCAACCATTGAGTCACTTGTTTTCAACGAATGTTAAATCCAAATTCT